GACAGTAAAAGCTCTTTGTCTTTATTATTTCTTAAGGAAACATTCTCATAGAAACTACTTTAATTTTATTAATATTTTTATTAGGATTTGTCTTTGGTTAGGCAATCCACTGAAATAAAAGTATAGGAGCAAGAAATCAAAATATTTCAAAGTGAAACTGAAAGTATCATCTTCCACTCCTTATGTTTACTGACTAAGAATAAATTTAATAATAATGCCTATGTAATCCCCCCTCTCCAAACAGGATTAGAAAATTCTCTATATGTGAAGTTTGCATGTCAATGTAGTCTGTTAGAAGTCTGCTGATTTATTGCTTGAATTCTCTTTTCTTTTATTCTTAATTTTAATTATTGTCTTAGTGTTTATGTCTTCAGTTTTCATGTCTTTTGTATGAGAAGTAAAAATGTAACGGAAGAAAATGTATTATGCATGCAAATGTTTGAGACAATGATTCTTGCTAGAAGCGTGGACGATACTTAAAATGCACTGAAGTGTCTGACTAAATTGTTGAGAAAAGATGGGTGTAAATCTCTGTAACTAGTGGACTAGAATTAATTTTGCCAGCGGAGGCCTGTTTTCCCTTTGAGTCATTGTCATCTTTTGTTGCCTGCAATCCTGGGATGGCCCCTGGCAGCACAGGGGTCTGTCTGGCAGCTGCAGCGACTACGGCAGTGTTGTTGGCCACCACTTGGCCAGTAATCCCCACAGCATTCAGATGTCCTTAATGCATGTAACTCCCGTGGCCTTGTGGCATCACCGCTGGTGGATGGGACCTTGGGAAGCAAGTTACAGCTTTCACCTGCAGTGCAGTTGTACAGTTTTCCTTACTATTTTAAGTAAAGACATCACAATTCCTGACGCTTTTCCTTTATAGTACCCTTGTGAGATTGGGAAATGTGATTATTTCCACACTGCAGGTGGGAAAGGAAGCAGGGAATGCTGAAATAATTTAGCTGAGTTTACTTAGGCAAAGCAAGGTCTCAAATCCATATTTATGAAATCCAGGTTTAGTGATTATTGTATACCATCACTCCAAACGCTTTTGCCTTACGAACTTTCTCCTGACCTGGCTACAGAGAGGCTAAGAGAGGATCCAGGCCTTTGCACCTCGTGTATGGAGAGCTTGTTTGTGGATTTAAATGTTGATAGCCATGATAAAGCTGAAAAGTGATTTTTCCACAATAGGTTGTTTACCTTCATTAGTGAAGAAACAAAAGAAAGAATGTGAGTGGAGGGGGGAGAATGAAAAAGGAGTTAATGTGTGATATTTCTAGTTCTTGCAGTTTGAATTATGCAAGTGCAGACGTTTCAAGTGGAACATATCAGCATTACAAAGGTACTTTACTGATATGTAATATCTCTTGCAATTGAGAATTTAGTCACATGTCTCAGGAAAAGACATCTCCTTTGCTTGGAAGGCAAGGATTAAAAATTTAAGTCTCAAGTTATTAAAAATTATGAACAAATGAAAAAAAACGTTAGAAACTAATCTAGAAATCATTCTTAACTACAGAACACTTATTTGATTTACGAATAGCAAATTTTTCTGCATATAATATAAATTCCTGGTAAAAGAAACTAATAACATTTTTCACAGCAGTGAAAATTAGTAGATGTTTATTTCAAGAAAAGGTGAACAAATGCTGCCCACACCATAATTAAACAAAGCTTGTAATTAAGTGTTCCTTGTCACAGCTCACTTATTATCCAGGATCTTCCATAACTGCATGTTGCTATATACAAATGGTAGACTCAAGACCTGACGTCTCGTACCTGATTTGTGGGTGAAGATTTCTCATTTACCTAGCAATCGGACACAGCCAGAACAGGCTTCTGAATTTATACATGATAGAGAGCACTGATTTTGAGATGAAAGATTCCAGTCCTGATTTTGGAAAATAGTCCCCAGACCTCATGAGTTGAGACCAAAATTTATTCTGAGTTTGATTTGGGAGGAATTTCGAATCACATTCGCTGTAAAGAAAGCCTTTTAATTTCACGGTCCCTGGGAAAGTGAAACTTGAGTAAGCTGAAAGCATTGTGAAATGACTTCTGCGTAAACATCTGGGATTGTAAGTCTTGGACTATCTGCACTGAGGTGATCAAGCTGTAATTACATTTCTTTCTCAAGATGTGCTTCCAAATTATGACTGTATATCACTGAGTTATAGTTTATATGCCAGTTTTGCTGAATACAGCGATAAATACCAATTTTGTTTGCACTGCTTGTTATAATGTTAAGTAAAGTTAGCAAGACATCATGTTTGGAAAGAACTTAAGTTCCAGTATCCTGAAATATCTGTGGTATGAGGTTGATTTTGATATCTGCGGTCTATTAAGTAGTGCTCCTGGATGTAGTGTGATGTTCTATATAGTGTTCTTCCTGGTGTAAATTTTAACACTGAATAAATGAGCCCATGACTGTAGTCAGTGGGATGTTTGAGACTTTTCCGATGGGAAATATCTAGGAAGTGCTGTGGTACTGCTGTTCTTGAGAGCGAACTTGTTCAGTGTTTTGGGGTGACCTGAGGCTTTCAGGGTGAGAGTGTAGCAACAGAGCCTGCTGTGTGGAGTGAACAGTACAATGATGCTTCTGCAGGAGGAAGGGCTTTAAGCAGAGCTCAAGATTTCAACATGATGTCAGGACTGTTGAAAACAAAAACCTGTGAGAGCAGTTTGTTGCACAACCCTGGCAGCCAGCTCCAGAGAGCGTTGGACTAGTGCCTCAGTACTCTGCTGTCCCATGTTTGAAAGCAGCACCTCTCTTCTCTTATTATTTTGGGAAGTGGGGGAGGGAATCTTTCATTATTGCGTTTCAGGGATAGGATAGGACACTAGTAGAGACTGCACCTTGATAATTTCACTATTATATTCAGTAGCTGCTCAGAAGAAATCTAGGTAGGCCTCTGGCTTTAAGCGTTGATGAGAACTAGTTTACATCCGGCTGTCATTAGGCTGTCAAAGCCAATGCTATTTGAATTCACAGACTATAGTAAGAGTCTTCATGGAAAGTGTAGTGCAAAAAACGTTTATTTCAGAGTATCAAAACAGAATTACTACGATAAACTCTTCCCAGAGAAAATGTTCTGTCTTTTTCGTCCCTGTTCTCTTTTCCCCCTTAGAGAATACGTGTAGTACTGACTAGAGGGGAAAGAGCCTTCCATTGAGTTAGTGGAGGCATTTGGTGCAGAAATGAGGGAAGTATACCCATGTATGGCTGCAGATTGCTCCTGGTACATCTGTGATGGGATTTCCTAGCAGAATGTAGAATAACCGTGTGTTTTAGTTCACAGAGCATTTATAGCCTTCAGACTCAAAATCTTTCTTATGCAAAAAAAGCAAACCGAGTTGCACTAATGAGAACTGGAATGGGAAAGGCAAAGAGCTTTTGCTGGTGGGATGTCAGGGGACCTAGCTTCTGTCTAATGAAGCTCCATGAAGAAACTTTCATAACAGGCAGAGACCTCAAGCACTGGCCACTTCCAGGAGAGAGACAGGATTTTAGTCTTACCTTGTCTGGCAATTACTATTTTTGTGGTGATCTATCCTTAGTGTTTCGGTCCATTGGGGATTACCTGCTGTATGAACAGGTTTGAGCAGGGCTGTTAATCTAGCTTAGGTGGATCAATGTAGACCTTCCCCAGTTAAAACATGCAAACTGTTTGACTGCTTAGAAACTCGGGCAATTTTTGCAATAGCCAGTAGTAAGAAGTAAGAGCAACAGATTTTAGAGTGAAAGTTGGTACTAGGGATGTGACATCTGCACTGTGCATTTCAGGACTTTTATTACTTTGGACTGTTTTTTAAATTTTTATTTTTTCTATTGTTTGGTGTTTTGCTTTATATTTAGCAACAGAATTAATATTAAAAGCCGTCTTTGTTATACCCATATACAATTTGAGAATCCAAAGCTTGAATATCCACATTAGCAGAATTGCAACTCTTGGTCTCAGCTCGGTAGATTTCTGTTAGTCCCAATGTTGTAGTAGATCAGATTCATGTATATCACAGAAACAGAGGTCATACCCTTGCTTAACTTTACATTCATGCTCTCTGTATTTTCTCTCAAAATGATGTCCTGTTAGACTTCATTACTTTGCAAGACAGTCCTTTGATATTTTCCTTACTCATCTAGTTAATTATTAAAACAAACCCAGAAGAATATTAACTTATGCTCTCATCAATTTCTTATCAATAGGAATAGGATTTTAATGGGTAAAAATGCCTCCAAGTTTCTCCACTTTCTTCTCAATAGAGCAGAATTTGAAAAACAATTCTGTTTTCGTAAATAGACATAATATTTTCCCAGCTAGGGGGAAAAAAAAGCTACCTGAAATAAGAACAACCATCAGGTGAAGTAGAGCAACTCACTCCATATTAAACTGAACTTTTCCTGGTTTCGATGACTCATAGAGAAAACTCCCTAATATTATTTCTGTGCAGTAATACAAGAGAAGTAATATACTTGAACATTAAGGATATCCTTCTAAAGTAACTTGATTTGTCACAAATTACGTGAAGGCATTTCCTAACTGTTATACTTGTATTTGTTTATGCAGTATTCTGTTTAAATGACTTTCAACATAGCACTTTGTTAATCTGATCACTTAAATTGATCCCTAAGCAGCAGACGAACCAATTCTAAAAATTTGGCCTTATACACTGTACAAGTAAAGAGCTTCTGTATTCTGGACGAAGTTGAACATGTGCTTTTCCTAATATTAAATTTGTCCCTATCTGTTCTGAGGAAGAATATCACCCAGCAGCTGGTGCAGAAGAGACCTTCTTGTCAGCGGATCTGAACCACAGTTCCTGTAAACCTTCGAGTGTCCTAATCCTGAGGAAGTTCCACCCCCATCCATGAATGCCCTTCACATGAGCAGGAGGTTTCAATTCTCATTTTGCCTTATTTATTAACAGAGAAATTAACAGAGAAACTGTCAGAGTACAACAGAGTATCAGTCATTTAATGGGGAAGCAGAAAATAATGAGAAACTTACGGCTGGTGCATAATTTTGAATAGGCTCAGCTCATAATCCGATACATTCTGAAAAGAGAGAAAACAGGTTTTGTATTTTAAATAAAGATCAATATAATCAAGAGCAATCCATTAAGTGAACTAAGCAAAGACGTGAAAAATAGTTTTCCGTTTTGTAGCTACATGGCTGTCTCATCTTGGTTAATGCTTAACTTTTTATTACTGGCCTGTTGTAAAATTTCTGTAAAGCTGGTAGCACACACTACATTGTTAAACTGGAATTTAACCAGGCATGTGGCAAGTTAAATTATGCTAGTTAATGAATCACTCAGAAAGTGATAAGAAAGCTTTTTTATGTGGTCTCTTTCCAGCTCCACCACAGAATCTCTTTGGGGGTTTTTAGTGAAATCAGCAGATTAGTATAACAATGGCTGAGTGGAGATTACTTTAACAATGGTTGGGAGACTATTATGGCCCAGTTTGGTCTGCTCTTGTGCTAGACTTCTGCATGACTCCTCAACCCATGAGAAACTGGAGATGAAAAAGAAATAGAATATTAGTATGCCACCTTGGCACACACGGTGCCCATTATAGTGCTGCACAAGCTAATTTGGGTACTGGAAACTGTTCAGCCACATCACTTCAGTAGTTTGTGTAGCTCCATATACCTTTCACCTCAAGGTGCCAGAGTCCATGCACCATATTAAAGCAGCAGAAGTACTTCTGATTTTCAAGCTAGTCCGTATCTTGCAGCCGAACTTCTTAAATCAGAATTTTAAGCTAGTCTAAATTAAACTTTTTATATCTGTGGATTTTCCTTTAGTGCAAAATTTCCAGTAAAATCTCTGGATTGTACTCAGACCAACTGTGTGATTGTATGGTTTCAGTCCAGAAACCTGTTAATGCTAAAATGCCCTCTTTCTCAGCATATATTTCAACAGGGGGTAGATCAGGCTGAAAACACGTCCATTTAATAGCTGCAATTCTAACCCTCCTTCTATTTTGTGTCAGAAAGAGGAAATTAATTTGCTTGTTTCTGGAGACTTCCTATGCACACCTCTAATGGATGTAAAACCTCTGAAACAAATGCTTTCCATTGACTTAGGTGATACCGAGTTCATTGTAATAAGATGTTTGCCGAGCTCTATCTGTTTTTCTGAATAACCCTCCAGCTATCAGTCTCAGTCCAAACTGTTTTGCCTTTTCTCTCACCATCTTATCCGCATGATAGATGAGTTTGCATCAGGCATACAAAATGAGACACTAATAACAAGTGTATGAGACAAAAGGGTCGAGTGGAGAACATGTAAGGTCTCAGAGAAAACATATTTCCTCAGTCTGTATTTAAATTCAAGTGAATCTCTGCATTTCTTTGATATTAATTTCTTGTGAAAATATGCCATTTCAGGCACTAGAGAACCTCCTATATTTAATACTTAGCATGTAATTGTACTGTAACAAAAAGCAGCTGCATATCTTCATGTGGTACATACGGTGATTCGCAGATGATCTAGCAGATCTAGAAATCGCCACATTCCTGAGGAAACTGAAAACTATATTGGGCTGATTGACACACAGGCCCGTCTGGGCTCGTTCAGCCTTTGTCAGCTGCGACAGTGACTCACCAGAGTGGCTCTGCAGATCAATGGCCAGCGGTATCAGGGCCATTGCCTCCCCTGTTGGTGCATCTTCTAAAGAAGAGGAGAAAGCAGCTATGCTTTTTGTTGTAAGGATCTGATTCCTGTTCACTCCCTTTTCTTTGCAAAAGAGAATATTTAAACTTGACTTGTGTGTATTAGGATTGCTGAGGTGTAATTGCTTGGTGATTGCAGCCAAATAGCTTGTTTAATCCTCTCTGCCCTTCCAAGCCGATGTTTGCTTTAGCGGCTCTCTGCCGTAAGCAGCTCTTTCCACGCAGAAGAACGCTGCGTGCGTGCTCAGATAAACACTTCTTTAACTAGCAATCGAGCTTACTAGAGGAAGAAGCTATGAATTTCAGCGCTTCCTATACTGGTGAATATTTTATATAGAGGGTTTTAACGTTATTATTTTTGTTTTCCGAGACAGTCATCAATAAGAGGGTTAAGCTCTGAGCGTCCCTGAAGTTTGGGGAGACTGGCATCTATGGGTCCAGCTGAAAGCTATCTTCTCTTATTTTGTATGTTTATTTTTTTGCAGTAAATTGCACTACTGATTGCAACTAAGAGCTGCTGCTGCATTTTAGCAACAAAATTCTGGTCTTACGAAAGAGTACAAAAATATCTTGCAAACTCAACATTTTTGAAATTACATGGTAGGTTCTGTAAGAAGATGACTAATCCTTCCAGGTTTTTGTTATCTATTGCTCCTGTTGTTGTTTATGATACACATTGTTAGTGATTCGTACTGGCATGAATAGAATGTATTGCAAATGAATATGTGTGACAAAGAAGAAGTTAAAGTAGTTTCTTTCCTGGAGGGATTCGAGTTGCCAAATACACAATGAGGAACTAAAGGGACAGATTGGAGTGTTTGGGTTTTTTCTGTTTACAGTTTCATGTTAGAGTGCAGTTTAGAAAGCATATAAAAATTATGTTCTCTTTAAACTTGATGTTGATTTTATCTTCTCTACTGGCTGCTTCATTCACCTGCCATCAGCTTCCTCAGTAGCTCCCGTAGGTAGCTCAGTAGCTAAGAGTAGCCAAAACTCTTAGCTGGCAGATCAAGCCAACCGGCTTTGTTCTGCAGACAGCATCATGGAAGGAGAGAAGCGCTGCAGTGATGCAAATGTTTGAGGTGTGTCTCTGGTTCCTTTACTTGCAGAAGCATGTCTTGGATCTGAGCCTATCCTGCTGTAGCTGCCTGCCAGCATGGGTGCTGACAAAGGGGAAGCCGTACATCAGAAGCAAAGAGAAGCTAAATTTTCATGCAGGCTGGAGCTGCAGATCCATAGATAGGTTTTATGCATTTTTGTCTGGAAAAGTTTAAGCCGACTCCCGCACATTTACTTTGCAGTACATGCATAGTGAACTGGCTTGTCTGAGGTGTTCTGGTTCTGGGCGTGTGCTTCACAAATGGCCAGCATACGTGTGTGGGGCTTACATGATTTGGCTGGGTGGGACTTAGGGCATTTTGCAGACTTGGGGACCTGTAGGCGATGACTGGTAGGTGGAGAAGGGGTAGTCAGTGTGCAAACAGATTCCTGGTTTGAGGAAACTGGGTATGTGTGGTAGGAAGGTAAAGGGAATGGGGCTCTTACATGGGATAAAATGTTCTAATGTAATGTGTAACGTATATGGCACCTTCACTGCCCCAGGACTAGCCCTCCTCCAAGGAAGGCTTGTAAGTCACAAATGCAGCTGTCAGAAGTTGGGGGACCTGACATGTTTTGGCTTCCAGGTTTGCTTTGGAGATACTTTTGTCATATTTTCACCGTTCCTAGCTGAGGTTGTGCTAAGCGATACTGTGATAGAGTCCTTGCCTCAAAAAAGTTTTTAGATGTCTTTTTTTAAAAGAAGGTTGTTGACATTGTTGATTGTATTGTTGTAAAATAGTGTGCAGACACCAAGATCCAGAGGAATCCACAAACTTCTCAGTGAGTTGTCCTGACCATATATGGGAGGAAAGACTTGGAATTCCTGGAAAGGACACCAAGAAGTACCACTTCTACAACTACCAGGGACCACTAGAGACCATCGAGGACCTCATGGAAGTCCCACAGAGACCCAGGCCGCATGTGTAATGAGTATGCAAATATGATAATTAGTTCCAGGAAGTAGAATAAATATGTATGAATGTTTCGGGAAACTTAATGCACATACATGTAACAGGGTTATATAAGCTTGGGATGAGCCGACATAGGGCATGCATGTTAGGAGAAGCGATCCTCTGTGCATCTGGCACCATAATAAAGAATGCCTACTTTTTAGTGCTACATTGGTGTTAAGAAGTTTTACTCCCAGTTTTGGTGACAGTATGATGCAGTCTTTTCAACTATATTTTGAAATTCATAGAAGCACATCTTTTTCCCCTTCCTTACTTTACAGCCTGTCCTTGTAGGTAAGCACCTGTATAAAATGGTTAAGGCTGCAGGTGCAAATACTACCTTGAACAATCCAGGAGAGCCCTGAAGGATCAGCAGGAGTTCGAAAAAGACAAATTTTGCTATGAGGGACGATGAAGGGATTCCTTTGACTTTATGATAAACAAACGTAATGTGTTTCTAGGTAAGCTGTCAATATCTGGGCAGTAAAGCTGTGTGTAAGGTGACAGTCTTGTCATTACCTTACAATAATGCTGAGTTACATTCTGTAACATTGCCAGTTCTGAGCATGGACCAGTTTGGAGAGGTTTGTTGCTTGCTTTTTATTTTTTTTTCCTGTGTGTGTATATATGTATCTCTTTATATATATATTTGAATATGATATGGTATAATGAATTTGACTACCTCCTAATCTTCTTCAGTCTTTTTGAGGGGGAAGTAAAGACCCAGATTTATTTGATGTAAAGCAATTTCATGTGTTTAAGGCAAAGTAAATGCATAATATATTATAAAAACTCTGTATTTAGAATTATCAACTTCCTTATGTTATGATTTATTTATGTTTATGGAATCTGTTTGGTATTGACAAAAAGACCTGCAAGAAGCCAGGATTAGGAGTAATCTACAGCTACATTTTTCACTTCTGAGAGACAGAAATTTGTAGTGTAAATAAAAATGCTCTACATTCAGGTAGTCAATGTGAGTAAAAATCTGAAAAATCATAGAATGGTAACAAGCCATGTTAATGATATTTCCTACTAACTGGCATAGGAGACTATCAGTGACTGGTCAGAGAAGAACTGGCATTGTTTTAGTAAAAACGTTTTTATGGAATATAAAAATATCCTTCTAGAATAAGGACTAAGATCTCAGTGCTGTCCTCTGGAAATACAACCTGAGCTGTAGGCTTTGACCAGTGATATCTGGCAAAAACTGTGACAGTGTCTCAGACTAAGTAAATAATGGAATAAATGCATAGTGTAAACTTTTTAGGTCCTTTTTTCTTAAATGATAACTGTGCCCCACGGAGGGGGGTTGGGCGGGGAGG